GTAGCTAAAGGCTACAATCAAGAAGAAGGCATTGATTTCGAAGAAACTTATGCACCTGTAGCACGTTTAGAAGCTATTCGTTTACTTCTTGCTTTTGCTTCGTCTATGGATTTTAAACTTTATCAAATGGATGTTAAGAGTGCCTTCCTCAATGGTTTTATTCAAGAGGAAGTGTATGTTGACCAGCCCCCGGGGTTTGAGGACTTTGAGTTTCCTGATCACGTCTTCAAACTCAAGAAAGCGCTTTACGGTCTTAAACAAGCACCACGTGCTTGGTACGAACGTTTGAGTAAATTTCTTTTGGATAGTGGTTTCCAAAGGGGAAAGGTTGACACTACACTTTTTATCAAGAGTAAAAACAATAACATCCTTTTGGTTCAAGTTTATGTAGACGACATTATATTCGGTGCTACAAACGAGTCTTTGTGCAAGGAATTCTCAACGCTAATGACTAGCGAATTTGAAATGTCAATGATGGGCGAGCTCACATTCTTTTTGGGACTCCAATTTAAGCAAATGAAAGATGGAACGTTCATTTGCCAAGCTAAATACTGCAAGGAGCTCCTAAAACGGTTTGAAATGGACAACGCCAAATCCATGGCGACCCCGATTAGCACGTCTGACCATCTTGACAAAGACGAGAAAGGTAAGGAAGTAGAGGTAAAAAAGTATCGAGGTATGATCGGATCCCTTCTCTATCTTACCGCTAGTAGGCCAGATATCATGTTTAGCGTATGCCTTTGCGCGAGGTATCAATCATGTCCGAAGGAATCGCACTTAACCGCGGTGAAACGGATCATGAAATACCTTGTCGGCACGGTTAACGTTGGACTGTGGTATCCAAAAGGCTCTTCTTGTCATCTTGTCGGTTATTCCGACTCGGACTTTGCCGGTTGCAAATTAGACCGTAAAAGTACGAGTGGGACTTGCCACTTACTTGGTAGCTCTCTAGTCTCATGGTTTAGTAAGAAACAAGTCAGTGTTGCGTTATCCACAACCGAAGCGGAATATATAGCTGCCGGTAGCTGTTGTGCTCAAATCCTTTGGATGAAGCAACAACTCGTGGACTATGGCCTTAGTATCAATCACGTCCCTCTTCGTTGTGATAATACTAGCGCCATAAGCTTGACGAAGAACCCCGTTCTTCACTCAAGGACGAAACACATTGACATTAGGCATCATTTCATTAGAGATCATGTTCTCAAAGGTGATGTCGAAATTGAGTTTGTTGAAACACACAACCAATTAGCCGACATTTTCACAAAACCTTTAGAGAAAGAGTCGTTCTTCCGCATTCGAAGTGAACTCGGAATCCTTGACTCCACGATGATATAATTTGTGCATCTAAATTTATTAAACATTTACTAACTTGAGCGTCGGAGAACTTTTTCTTTTTTGTAGGTACCCCGTTCATGAAATCAGGGGGAACCATGCAAACAGCGCTGTCCAGGAGACACAACAGCGTTGTTGAGGAAAACACCGTCAACCAGAAAGTTTTTCAACAGCGCTGTCCACCAAGCCAACAGCGCTGTCCCAGGGAGTCCCTTACATCTTCACTTTCCAGACACTTTTTGAACATCGATGTTCCCTTTTAAACATCGATGTCTTCCCAAAACTTTTTGTTTTCAACCAAAACCAGAAACATTTTAAACAGGGATGTCTTACCTTCAACATCGATGTCCACTTTTACAAATGTTTTCCTCTATCGCAAAACAGCGTTGTAGAGAAACCCAACAGCGCTGTTCTAATGGGTTCACACCCTTACACAATTCCAGAAACTTTTGGAACATCGCTGTAGGGTACCCAACATCGCTGTCCTCCTGACTTCTATTTTTCTAAAAACATGACGCAGAACAGCGCTGTACAAGGAACAACAGCGCTGTCCTAACAGCGATGTCGCCTATAGAACATCGCTGTTCTGGTCAAATTTTTCAAAAAAAAATATCCGTTGGCAGCAGCATTAACTTCTCCAACAGCCATAATTTTGAAAATCAGGCCGTTGGAGACCACCTTTTCTATAAATTGGGACCCCCTCTCTTCACTTTTACACACACAAACACAAATTCCTTCAATATCTTCACATATTTCATCCTCACTACTCTAATTTTTTGAGCTTTCTTCACTATGGGAAAAGACAAGAACAGGGCAGGCACTTCCGGAAAATCCAAGTCCAAATCCCGGGCTCCATCCACGACCTCCGAGGAACGCCTCTACTACGGCGACGGGACGTACCTCTGGTTTGATTCCAAGGAGGAGCGCACCCGATTTCTCACCTTTTTCTCCAAACGGGTTGTGGCTCCTCCACGAATCATCCCGGAGCACTACCCGGAGCTTCATCAAGCCAGCCTTTGGCCGTTCGTCTCCCGGGCGCGCAAGGAGATCAACCCGGCGCTGATCCGGGCCTTCTACTCCAACCTCCGGCGTGAGGACGACGTGCTCTACTCGCTCGTCAAGAGCACGCCGATCGAGCTCACCGTGGAGCAGCTTGGCCGCATCGCCGGCCTCCCCTTCCAAGGCGACGATGTGTCTCACTATGGTGGAGAGGATTGGGTGCTCAACAACGAGGGCCTTATCCTCAACGAGCTAGGCATCACCGAGCTCAAACGCCATGCCTCGGGCCGCCCAACCATCCACTCCGCCAACCCCGAAGGCTGCCTCGTCCTCTACATCGTCTCCCGGATCATCAAACCCCAGAAGCACGACCACACCATCATGCACGGTGAAGACCTCAAGCTTATCCATGCGATCATGCATTCGGCCCCAATCAATTGGGCAAAGTTTGTCATGATCAACATGACGATTTCCACGTCCACCGAGCATGACCACCTCCTCACATACCCGTTTTTGGTGATGGACATCCTTGAACGGTTCAAGGTAACCACCACCGTTGGCCCGCTCACGAAGGCCACGAAGATTTGGACAATCAGCAACCAAACCTTCCTCAAGCGGTCGGACAACGCCGCGCCTGCCACTGCCGCGCCAAGCCGCACTGCCTCTGCCGCTGGCCCAGCCGAACCCCAGGCCCGGGCCAACCTCGCCTCCATCGCCGACTCCCTCAACCGGCTCCACCTCAAGGTTAACGGGATGGGGAGCTGTCTTGACCGGCTCGACGTGTCTATTCAACGCCAAGGATACGCGATGAACTCATACTTCCAAGGCATCAACTACGTCCCCCCACCGTACCATGGCACGTTCCTTGGGCAAGTGTACGGTGACGAGGACGAAGCCGATGACTCCTACGCCCCGTCAAGCTCCCCGGATGAAGACGCATTCGACGATGCCATTGATGGTGATGAGATGGACGTCGACGACGACGAGGAGGAAACTGAAGACGAAGACTAGGACTCCCCTAGAATTTCTATCTCTTTTACTTTAATTATCCTGTTTTTTTAATGCTTCCGTTGTACTCCGCTATTTCCCTTTATTAAATAAAATCATTTCGTTTATCTTTTTGTTAATGTCAAAAGGGTGAAGAAAAGGGCTATGCATATACTAAGGGGGAACGTCTCTATAAACGAGACCGTTTGATTTTAATCCAACTAAATTTTTTCTTAAGCACAAATTAAGGGGGAACCTTTTTTTTCACAAATTTTGAAAAACAAATATCCCTTAGTATGCATATCTCCGTCTTGTTTGCCATTATCAAAAAGGGAGAAATTGTTGGAACACGGGTTTACGCCTACGTCGTACTAAACTGTGTTCGTTTTTATGACAGGTTTTGATAATGCCAAACCTCCGCGACACATCAAAGCTAAAGTGAGCAAAACTAAGGCGAAGAAACATGGCATGATGACTAGAGAACCAAGAATCAAGAACGAAGAATTAGAATTGCATTGAGTCAGTCTTAATGTGATCAAGACCGGCACAAAATTCCAAATCTTGCCTCTCTAGGCTCATTTCATAAAAATCTCTTTTACATATTCAAAAATATTTTTCTTAAGTTTTATCCTCCCAACTCGCCCACATGCTTGTGTCCTTCTTGTCTAGGCTTTATTGTTCCAATAATCGATTTTACCTTTGGAATTAAACGATTATCGCGTCCAGAAGGAACTAATCGATTAACACCTTTGGTTTTAATCGATTATTACTTTTCTGCGCAGAAGGAATTTGGATTTGGCAATTTTAATCGATTTTTTCAGCTACCATAATCGATTTTTTATGATGCATTAGTCGATTATGGTGATGCATCAATCGATTATGATGCTGCATTTTTCATCACAGCTTCTTTTCTTGGACCAACGGATATATTCCTTCAACCCCTTTATAAACTTCACTCCTTGGTCATTTTTACTAAGAACAAGCACTCCTAAAATCCCCCAATCTTGAGGTTATAATCCTCCATTCATTTCTTCCTCAAATTGATATATTTTGAGAGAAAACTAAGTGTTTTCAAGAGATTGTTCTTGTCATCCATAGAGCTTAATCTTTTCTCATTTCTACTCTTGTGAGAGTCATTGTTGTGAGGTTGAAGAAGATTGTTCTTCTTGTTGTTCAAGGCTTATGTGATTTAAGTCTTGGTTGTGAAGTCTTTTAGAGGGCATATCTTCGAGCGGTTGTGTCGAGGCTTGTGGGATTCAAGTTCTCGAGTTGTAAACGGTTTGTTAAGCACTCGTAAGCTTAACGGAAGTAGTGGTAGCTTCGAGAGAGTCTCTCGGGGAACTGGACTAGCAACGAGGTGGTGAACCAGTATACATCGGTGTGTTCTTTGCCTTCTCTCTTTTATTTCCGCTGCACTTACGTTTATATTATTAATCCTGCGAAAATCGTTAATCATTCTCAACAACTCTATTCACCCCCCCCCTCTAGAGTTGCACGCCTTGTCTAACAGAATCTCCATCAGAGTCTGAAGTATCAAATAAACCAAGTCAAGGATTATTTAGTGAAGCAGAAGCCTCTAACCAAACCTCTAAAACTATGTTTAATACAGAAGGAATTCATAGAGATGGAATGTTTGCGCATCCTTACGAAGATAGCGAGTTTTCAATAAACACCCTAAAACAACCATTTGTTTTAGACAAATCAAAATTACAATTGGAATACATAAAAGATGAAAATAAAGAAAATAGAGAACTATTTTTAAAAACATATAACAAGGAAGAAAGAGAAATAATTAAAAAATTCCTTTAAGACAAATTACATTACGACCAAAATAATAATGGAAAATACAGAACAAAATAATAAAAGAGTAATAAGAATTAACTTACAAATTAAAATAATAAAAGAGTAATAAGAATTAACTTACAAATTATTTGCAGAGAATGATTTGATTTTATTGATCAGAACTGGTTACAAGCGTGATTCTTGATTTTGTACTGGTTACAGACTTTGATAAATTTGCAAAAATATAAATATAATACAATGGATATTTTTGGATGGAAATATAGAGAAACTAAAATCGGAGATTTTTTTTTGATGCCTCTTGTATGGTGTGGTTGGTCTCCTTTTATAGGCAGCTCCGAACTTCAAATGCGGACTTGATTTCCTCCGGAGTTGATTTTCGGATTTCAAATTGGTGTAGAACTATAGCTTTGTCTTGAAGTAATAGTGGAGGGAAAAGTGATTCCCCGCTTTTTGTCATGTCACCTTGTTAATGGAGCATAGTGGAGCACTTGTCCTTTGGTGGAGCACTACGACTTGTCACATCATTCTTTTGGTGGAGCACTACGACTTGTCACAATATCGTCCTTTGTGGATTCTTCTTGTATTGGATGGTTTTGATTTTTCCATTCCTGTAGAATTCTTGAACTTCTTCTTCATACTTGAAAAGAATTTCTAGATGAAGAAATTCAGAGAGTTCTTGAGCTTCAATCATCTCCAGATACGCTTTGTAGAAGGCAAACATTTAGCTTCCAATTTCTTGAAGTGAACATTCGGGTCTCCAACCTTCATTTTTGCTGAATTTTGTGAGAAAGAATTTGAAGAAATTAGGGTTCTTCTGGGATTTTCTCGCGAGGAAGACGATGAAGATTTGAGTGGGTTGAGTGGGCAGTTGAGATTTGAATATAGTGGCGATTAAGTTTAATTTTGGGCGATTTATGCGGCTGGTGGCGATTGGGTTTTAAACTGTTCCCAAGGCCACGTGCCTATCCATTGCTTTATCAGACATGGTAAGTGGACTACCACGTGTACCGCACTCATTCTAATTGAATTAGACCAATTTTGTGAAGCACTTCGGAAAACCTGGCTTCACTAAATGGTTTTGTGAGAATATCTTCCAATCGTTCTTCAGTTGAGATGTACTAAATTCCGATATCCTTCTTATCCACATGATCTCTGATGAAGTGATGTTTGACATCAATATGCTTAGTGCGAGAATGATGCACTAGATTTTGTGAGATGGCGATAGCACTTCGATTGTCACAAAATATTGTCATTTCCTTTGTTTTGACTCCATAGTCCAGTAGTTGTTGCTTTAACCACAAGATTTGAGTACAACAACTACCAGCAACAATGTACTTTGCTGCTGCTGTAAATGTAGAGATGGAGTTTTGTTTCTTAGTGAACGAAGAAACAAGATTTCCGCCAATGAATTGATAAGTGGAAGATGTACTCTTCTAGTCAACTTTGCATCCGGCAAAGTCAGAATCTGAGTATCCCACTAACTCAAATGAGCTACTCTTAGCATACCATAAACCCATGTTCTGAGTTCCTTTAAGGTATCTAAGAATCCTTTTGGTTGCTATTAGGTGTCTTTGCTTTGGCTTTGATTGAAATCTAGCACAAACACCTACAGCATATGTGATATCTGGACGGCTTGCAGTAAGGTAGAGTAGAGATCCAACTATTCCTCTGTAGAGAGTTCAACATCCTTTCCATCCACATCCATGTCAAGCTTGGTGGATGTACTCATGGGGACAGAAACGGATGACTTCTGATCAACTTTGAGTTTCTTGATAAGATCCCTTGTGTACTTGGCTTGATTGATGAGAGTCTCATCACTTCTCTGCTTGATTTGAAGACCAAGGAAGTAGTTGAGTTCCCCCATCATGCTCATCTCAAATTTTCCTTGCATGAGGGTGGAGAACTTGGTGCAAAGAGCTTCCTTAGTTGACCCAAATAGGATGTCATCCTCATAGATTTGGACCAATAGAACATCTTCTCCATCTTGAACTTTGAACAAGGTCTTGTCAATGAGTCCTTTGATGAATCCATTGTCTATTAGGAATTGAGACAATGTATCATACCAAGCTCTTGGTGCTTGTTTGAGTCCGTCTAACCCTTTTTTAAGTCTATACACTTGATCGCCTTTAGTGTGTAACTCAAATCATGGAGGTTGTTCCACATATACATCTTCCTCTAGGTTTCTATTGAGAAATGTGCTTTTGACATCCATTTGAAAGACTAGAAATAACCTTATAGCTTCAAGTATAGCAACTGGAGCGAAGGTTTCATCAACATCTATACCTTCTTCTTGAAAATAACCTTTGCCAACCAATCGGGCTTTGTTTCTGATAACAACGCCATATTCATCCATCTTGTTCTAGAAGACCCACTTTGTCCCAATGACATGTTGAAGAGTAGGTCTTGGAACAACTTTCCAGACATCATTTCTGGCGAATTGGTTGAGTTCTTCTTGCATTGCATTAATCGAATTAGAATCAGCTAGAGCTTTCTTAATGCTCTTTGGTTCTACTTGCGAGATGAAACATGGAAGCATGGCTTCTAGATTCTATTGAGCGCTTCTTTTGGGAACGCCTGATTGAATATCTCCAATGATTTGTTGAGGAGGGTGATCTCTTAACCAACGAAGATTGTGTTTATTAGGGTTGACAGGCTGATCTAGTTCAGCTTCTGGTTGAAGAATGGAGTTTGTTGGTGTTTCCGGATGGATTGGCACTTGATCACCAGTTCTGGAATTGTCGCCATGTGAGAGATCCGGGATTTCGGAAGGCTGGCCATGACTTCCGTTAGGCTTAGCGCTATTTGAATCTGGATTTCTCTGTGAAGTATTGAATGGTAGACTTCTGAATGGAATGAATTACGTTGGATTCATTCTATCTTCTCCTTACCTTTCTGCTCATTGGGTTTGACAGTAGGTTTGGGAGGAATGAATGTTGTTCTCCCTTTCCTTTTGGAACTAGAGGGGTCAAACCCAAGTCCTTCACGACCTTTCTTTTTGGTTGTCTCAAGAAGCTTATCCCCAGCTTCTTTGGACTTCAGTATCCCTAAGTCCTTGTTGAGAGATTTCACCTTTTCAGAGAGAGATTTATTCTCAGCCTTGAGTTGAGTGATCTCACATAGTTGACTTTTCCAACCTTTAGTCAACATGAAATTTTCTTCACTCAATAGCTTGTTCTCCTCTGTTAAGGATGAGTGTTTAAGATTTATTTCCTTAAAATCTTCCATCATGTTTTTGAACTTGTCAAAAAGATTTTCAGAAGTTGGTATGCTTTGATAAGAAGATAAACAGAAGGTTTGTGAGGTTACTTCTTGATCAGCATCATCTTTGCCCATCAGAGAGTGTAATCTTCTAACATTGTCCACTGATCCTCATGGTTGGACTTCTCAGCTCTGCGCTCCATGTAGACGAGGGCTTCTTCATCCGAGCTTGAACTGGATGACTCGTCACTTTCAACTGCTACCATTGCCTTGTTCTTCTTTTCGTTCCTTTCTCCTTCTCTTTACTTCTCCACTTTTGGGTACGGACAAGCTGACTTCTAGTGGCCAGGCTTCCTGCAGTTATAACACAGATAAGATTTGGGGGGAGAGTTACTTACCTGTAGCTTTCCCTTGCATGGCCTTCTAACTGAGTTAAGAAGTGGGCCCGCCTATTATTAGCAGGGTTTGGAGAAAGGATCGGAAATGTTATTTTTGTATATTTCTGCCCAGGCATAGGTCCCACCACAAAAATATTTTTTATATTTGGGCGATAACTCTGAAAATATAAATTTCCTATTTTTTCTTTGAGCTCAGGGGAAATGCGATCAGGCAGAGCTAATTCAAAACCCTCCGGTAAAATAAGAACCGCCCCCACATTAAAACCGCCCTTTTTTTCCATTAGAAAGAACTTGTTTAAGTTGGAGATCATCTTGAAGAACTTCTTGAACTTCTGGAATTGCTTGACCATCATTGCAAATTCCTCTTCATAGTTCTCCGCCTTTGAGCTTGATGGTTGGTTGGTGGAAGGAATGTCACATCTCCTTGGGCATGTTCCTTTTCTTGCTGAGACTCTTGGGTTCATCATTAGTGCTGTGGGAAAAGAAGTGACTTGTTCTTCCCTCTTCTTCTTCAGCTCGTGCTCATAGGTTCTGAGCTCATCTAGGAGACCTTGAACAATGTAGTTCTCTAGATTTATTCCTTCTTCCATTGTTGTGGCTTTGGTGTCACTCAGCCGGAAAAGACCTCAGTAACCTTACATTAGAATATTGTGGAATCTTTCATCCAGCAAGTCAAATGATTCTCCGGGAAGCATTTTGAAGCTTTTGAACTTCTCAAGTAGAACCTCTATCTTCTGCTTTCTCAATTCTTGTGATCCCTCACACAGCTTCCCAAGACCTTGCCATATTTCCATGGCAGTCTTGATGTAACACCCTAATCCGTCCAGGTCTACAGCCCCTTTCGGACTAAAGTATTAACTTGGTAATCGTAAAATTTAAAACATTTCAAATAGTTTTATTTATCACAATAATTATTTTCATAACTTAAATAGTACGGAGTTTTTAATATTGCTGAAGCTTAACAATTCATAATTACAAACATTTATTTATGTTCTTTAATTTAAAATATCACATCCATTCCAACAATCTCGCCTCCGTCTGCCTCCAGGATCACGTCACTTCATTCTTCCTATTAACCTGCGTGTAGCAAATAAAATACACTACACGATCAGCGGTGAAACTGAGTAAGCATATCTAAAGCGTCGAACATCCACATAAATTGAATCTCAATTCATAATAAACCATTTGATATCATGCACACAATATATGATTCAAACATTCATCATATTCTCAATATTTTATTCCAAGTCATTTCATGATAAATACATTATCCAATATCTCAACAGTGCTCGTAAATTATTCTTAATCTAAGGACAAATCATTTCATAACAAGCTCATAGCTATTCCTAGTCTAAGGCAATATTTCTAACCAGGCCCTTAAACTATAAATAGTTTAATGTCGAACACAAGAATCGATAATCCACCCTATGAGTCATGTGGATTACGTACCAAACCTAACAGTGATCTGTCGGGTAAGTGATATCTGTTCGGGATCCCGTACTTACGTTTTAACCCGAAATATGAATTAGTCAAGGAGGTATTTCTTAGAGTTCTTCTAGATATCCTTAATAATCATCAACATTATACAAGTGGGTATATCTTAGAGTTCTTCTAGATATCATTAACAATATACACCGTTTTCATGATCACCATTATATTCATTTTTAATCATGATTTAATCATTCTAATCAGTAGGTTTATCATTCGTAACTATCTATAATAATTATTCATCATAGTGATCATTCAACATTATATTTAATAACAAACAGCGGCCTAGTCTCGAGTGTTAACACACGAACTTACCATCATGCATCACATAATGTTTATATGCCAAAACATCAGTTTTATTATACAAAATCATATTTATATTGTTCATAATTAATTGGTATCAAAAATAGGATTTCAGAGTTCAAAAATAAGAAAACCCCCTAAATAGGAGTAAAACATGGATCATATCCTCAAAATATAAGTTCAAACTTAAACTCCTCTAAATAGGAGTAATTAATTAAATATATATTTGTACTAGCCGACCGAATCAAGAACGGCGGTGGCCATATACAAAATTTCTCTATCTAAGTGCTTGAAATTATTATGGATTTGAGTATACATTCTAATTTTGACACATGTATGAATGTGAGTTTAGTTGTCTATTTATTTCACGTGTGCACTTTACAGTTTGCTAAAATAGTTAGAATTTGAACTCGATAAGCTTTGAACTTGATTTGATTTTTATTTATTTTAGTATGATATGCCATTTTTCTATGAATTTGAGTGATTTAAAGAGGATGGATGGGGGCAGTAGATTCGACATATCCCATGATGCTGAAGATTAGTTCTTTTTTTGCTATAATGAAAAAGGTAAAGAGAAGCATCGATGAAGATTAATTGGTCTACCAATAAAACTTTTGTTGCATGCTTTTAGTGAGCTATATAAGATTGTTACATTTCAACGGGTAACATGTAAATTATTATTACCCTAATCAGAACGGTACATCAACATCAAATGCTGAACCATAAAGATGGTTCCGTGCATGTAATGAATACAACAATAATACAACAAAACAACAACTTGGCACGCAGGCCGAACAAATAAACAATCAAAGGACGCATTAGAGTTGCCAACAAAACAAAATGGTAATCCACGTCCTTGCTCCAGTGTCAGCTTCCAGTACCCCGCATCTCAAGGCAGTAGTATGGTAGACCAAACCAGAGCATGGAGGGAGCATATGTAGGTGGCATCTCAAGCCAAACACATCGCTCCCTCTCCACGGACCCAAAGTCACAGACAAGCAATCAAAAACAGCAAAACAGTACTGGGCAGCAGCGTCACCTAGTCCATGTCCAGCATCAGCAAAAACTTGCGTGAAAACAGCTGGGAACCTGCCCCCTGCAAGCAAGTTTAGGTTCCTGCAGTTTCCTTCAAGCATTGGTTCCACGACAATGGTCCAAAGCCTGCAGTTTCCCGCCCCAAGAACAGGCCAACACAAACTCTACAATAAATCCATCTGAATCCACAACATATTTCCAGAGGGTTGTCCATTCAAGTCCAAAGCCAAGTGCAAAGAGCTCCATGGTTGGGCAAGCTCCATTGTATCCACACTACGAATCAACATCCCCTATCTGTTGTCCTAGTGAAACTGGGACAACGAGGGGCTGTGTTCTGAGTTCACGATGTTGTTCACCCTCATCAAGGAAGACAACAAAGTGCCAAGATCACCAGAGAAAGCTCTGACCATTCAAGACGGCATAAAATGATTGGCAATCATCCTCCAACTGACCGGGTAAGAGTATCGCTAGGATGTCCACCAACAAGAGAACAAGAACCAGCGAAATCCTCCATCATGCATACCAAAACTACCCCATCATCAACACCGAAGCCAAGGACATCAGAAAAGGCATGATCCAAAAGCAAGGACATGAAGTTGCCATAAGAAACCCCTAAGCAGCAGAGAAAGCCACAGTAAAGGGTACCCCCAAGACTCCAAGAACAAGTGACTGAGGAATCAACAACCCACATTCATCAGCTCCATCACAATTGGTACCAACCAAATTCAGCAATTCCACCCAGTTCAGCCCATACGCAAAACAGATCCAAAATCCATGGGAATGCAGTTTTGTTACTGCCTTACTGCCCAGGCGAATGGCAGCAGGAAGCCACTGTCCAGCCAGCACCCAAAATCACCAATAATGAAGCAAAATCCATAGCAAGGTCAACAGGCAGTCCTCCTAGCAGGCGCAGTCATACCCAAGGCATAAACAAGGCACAAGGTTACTAGCTCCCTCCCCAACAACAACTTTCAGACAAACCACAACTGTCGAGGGTTCAAATCAGTCCTTACCTCATGCAAATGAGGTAAGGTGTGACAAAGTTGAGTCTTTAGGAGGCTGAGGGAGGGGTGGGACTTTCACGAAGACCATTATACCCAGGTATCAGTTCCAGCATCAAGGCACAGCCCAAAACCACACAAGGAAAACATCCAGGCAAGAAGGAAGTACATTCAAGCAACAATCAAATTGGGGTAATCCTTCTCAACACACAGGCCTGCCCAAAATCATGTCAAGAGCACCAGGTGCTGGTAACATAAAAATGTACTTCACCTTCCCATTAGCTCCATGACCAGGAACCCACTGGGGTAAAGCCCCTGCACTGTCCAGACAGTAGCATAGCAGGCCAGGGAAGAAGACATTCACAAACCAGCAAGTTCAAGATGAAAACCTTCCATGAAGAGCTATGTTTGATTCATATTTCAGTTACCATTACAGCTGCAAAAAGGGAGCAAAAGCCAGCAGACTCCCAGGCCAATCCGAGAATTACAGCGTTGAATGAACAGTAACGAAGAACATGAAGAACATGAACAGTAGTTCGAGCTCCCAAAATCAAAAAGACCAATTCAAGTTATGTGAATCAAACATCCAACAAAAGATATTGAAAGGCCCCTGAAAAACGAATTCAAAGCCAAAAAATTGGGAGCAGAAAGAGGCAGCAGCTTGGTAAAACCTGGAGTTCAAAATCGTACTGTGAACAGTGACTTCGAATCCAAATAATGCTCAATTCATAGAGGTCATCAATTGGAATGAAAATCCGACTTCAGGCCTTGAATAATCATCCCAAGCCGCCCCTAAACCCCCAAAAATTAGCCATCAAACGTGCTGGAAACGAGGTCAATTGGAATCTTGATGTTCGTCAATGAACAGTAAAATTCGAACTTTGACCTGCGATTTCACCCAATTACAACAGCGTAATCCAAAAACCAAGCCTGGGAATGGATTCTTCGGCTCCAAACGAATCAAGAGCTCCAAAATCGTGCCAAAAACATCAAGATTAAGGCTGGAATCGGAAGTTTCAATATTGATGAACAGTGCCAACGGGACTGCCTGGCCGTACCACTTGAATGGTTTTTTGGGGAGACATAGTTCCACTGGCGCAGAGGGGGACTCGAACTCGAGACCTCTCCTCTTGAAGGGTAACTCCACAACCAGCTGAGCTGAGTTGCTTGGTTTTGTTACATTTCAAGAATCTACTACACAGTGTCATAGGTGGTTTGACATTAAGTCATTACATTGTGACATTATATATAAGCATATGTGGCATTATCTATGGACATCTATGGTATTATATATTGTCATATGTGACATTACATGGTGTCATGTTTGACATTATTATGTCTTTCTTTGACATTGTATTGACTGTTAATGTGACACTATGGTAACGATGGTGCAGATTGTGATGTTAGTGTTGCTGATAATGGTATAGAGCGGTGATATCGTCGGTGGTGATGACAAAAAATCAAAGGCATCAATGGTAGGTTTTGTTTGTAAGGTGCGGCGGAGCAGAGGATGGCGGTGGTGGAGATTCAAGTGATAATGGCAAGTATGTGGTAGCCAGGATGGCGGCGGTGGGCATCACCGTTGACAGCGATTGCGGTAGTGTGCATCACTGTTAGTAGCATGATGTTGTGAAATTGGCCGAATTTTTTTAGTGTTGAACTTGGCCACCACTAACACCATTCGCTGATGCGGATCTGGGAGGAATAGGAAGAAGCTATTCTTTCATTCCTCTACCAATGGTAGAGCTACTGCATTCCTCTTGTTCAAATGCTTGACCTTGGCTTCGGTGCCAACTAGGACTGGTCTTCACCCTTATTGATGGATAGGGTTCTTCCCTCCTATTAGATTAGATAGATAATCATTTGTAAGTAGGATTTGGCCTATTCAGAATGTTCTTTCCCTCGAAAGGCACTACAAGAATTTGTTTGGTCTGCAACGGAAATCTGCTACGGACTTGTTTCCGTAGCAGATCTGCAACGAATCTGCGACGGACGAATTATTCATGAAAAAAGAAAACTATCTGCAACGGAATATGTAAGTCCGTCTCAGGTCGGCAACGGAAATAATGGTTCCGTCGCAAATTTGAAAACGTCGAAGATGGTCAATTTTTGCACAGAAACGCTGCGAGGGTTTTATTTTTCCGTCGCAGAACTGCAACACAAGCCGCGACTCAATCCATTCCGTCGCAGGGGATTTTATTAAAATCGGACTTCAACCTCACAACCCAAAATCAAAATCAGTTCGAGCCTATCCCTCAACCCCCGTCAGCCGTTCAGCCGCGCCTTCCCTCGCCGTCGTCCTCGCCGTGCTGCGCCAGCACTCGCTGCCGCCGCCGCCGCCAGTGTTAGCCCACGCCGCACCAGATCCCTTGACCGTCCGCCGTCTGGCCACGCCAGTGTTAGCCCACGCCGTGCCAGCAGTAGCCCTCGCCGCGCCGCAGTAGCCCTCGACGCTCTCGCCACCGCCGTCCTCGACCGAGTTCCCTCACCACCACTCGCCACCGCCGCCACTCGACCACCAGTCTTCCCGCAGGTCCTCTTTGCCATGAATTTCAAGGTAATGTATTTTTGTTTAATTTTATACAATTTATTATTATTGTAATTTTTGGTGAAATTGAATTTGTTTGTGTCAAATTGAGTGCATTTTTGGTAAAATTTAATTTAAATTGTGTGAATGTGACTTGAAATTGACATGAATTTGGATAAAAATTGTATTAGTTTTTTTTGAAATTGATAGTATTTAAGGTGTAATTTTAGTTGAAATTGTGTTTGTTAATTGGACATTTATTGAGAATTTAGGTAAAATTTACTTCAATTTTGCGAAATTGAGTGCATTATAGGTTGATATGTGTATTTAATTACATGATTGTTGTTATGGTTTAATAAGATTTTCATTTTTTAAGGAACAAATGAGGACTTTATTTAGTTCTTTTTTATAATGTTAATTGTTAAACATACACTTCTCCAATATGATGGACACATAGGTTTCTTGGCCAAACTAAATTTTAGCATGAAGCAAGAAGATGGGTGATTTACTGCATTGTACAGAATCATGTTTGTGAACTGTCACAGCATTCTACGTTCCTTTACTTGGGCAGTTTTTATGATGTTTGCAATGAGGATTATTTTCTTACATTGAAGGCATAGAAGTGTTTGTATCTTGTAACCAACTGATAAACTATTTCCATTATTGATTATTGATACTCCCTTTTAGCCCAGAAAAGTTTTTCAAACCTTTCCCCATCCCTCCCAAAAAGATGCCTTAGTTTGTAGTTTTTTGATGTGTTCAAGCCGGGGATCTCCTTAAAACAGTCTCTACCCTGTCAAGAAGGGTGTACATAGACCCTATTTTCGTGGGATTTTACTAGTTTTTTTTCCCAATATCATTCATTCATTATTGTTCAATGCCTGATTATAGATGGGAATAGTTTTTTCGTATATAAATATTAATAGTAGTGTGCTATTGACAGTGGCCTCGAGTATTTCAAGTTGATTATGGACATCAAGAGGCTGCCACAAAATTCGGCAAGGATCCAAGGACCTATGAGGTGCTAACAAAGCGTTTTATTGGTGACAAAAATGGAGTGCTAACAAAGAGAGATAAGAGGTCGAATTTAAAGGACGAGTACGAACGCTTCTCCACCAATGTGGAAGGGGTGTTTGCTGCTGGAGACTGTCGGAGAGGTCAGTCCATTTGGCAATGGACACAGTGGCAGGGCTCGTGATGGCGAGGACCACGATGACGAGGTCCACGATGATGAGGACCAGGAGGGTGGATATCACGAGGGTGCCGGTCATTAGGGTCAGTTCATGTATGTCAATTCAGATGACGAGTAAGTAGTCTGTAAATTGTTGTTTTGTGTTATTAACTATCATATATTTCAGGCCCAATTCTTCGCACTGCGCGAGGAGGCTAGACAGAAAGGGCTCCAAGTCACCGACAAGGAAATATATATGGTACTCCCAGAGTTGGTGACTACGAGCGGGAAATGAGGAAGATGAATCCGTCCTCCAAACCTCGTCGTTCCAGCACGAGTAGTAGCAGCACAGCAGAGATGGCAGCACTTAAAGAGTAAAACCAAAGGCTGCGGGAACAAATTAATAATCTAATCTCGAGCTTATCACTGACGATTCGGGAGGAGATAATGAAGCTATATGGTGGTAACCTTCCTCGACGAGGCGATGATGATGGAACGGGAGGGGCAGGGCAGCCCGGGATTTGTTGAGACCTTTACGACCTTTGTTTCATCCATTTTGAACACTGACACTTTAATATTCATTGTTAGAATATAATGAATTATGTTACATTCGCACATGAAGTTTTCATTAATCTAGCTTTGAATTATCAATTTGGGTGTTAAAATCTTGTTTAGAATTATGTGTGTGAAAATTGAATGTGTTTTGCCCCCCATTTTAGTACCTATTGCCTAAAAACAGGAAAATTATGGTATTTCTATCGCATATCTGCAACGGGCAAGCCCGTTGCTAATTCCGTCGCAGATCCGCAATGCTTCTTTAATTCCGTCACAGATTTGGCTTAATAAAAAATGGAAACTTCCGTTGCAGTTCCGTGGCAGATCTGCCACGGAAATTTAACTTCGTCGCAGTTTTTAAATCTGCCACAACTTTTCTGCGACGGAAAAATTTCGTTGCAGATCCGTCGCAGAACGAAAACCTGCTACGGAATTTCAATTTCTACTACGGAATTTGTTCGTTGCAGATTGGCAGTTTTCTTGTAGTGAGGGGAATTAGTGAGTAATAGCATTATTCTAAAGAACTAAGATTCGAAAGGGAGAAAAACTGCAACGCGGTGGGTATCCAGCTCCTTGTTATAGTCGTATGCATCTTTAAAAAAAGGGCGTGTGGGGAGTATTTTTTTATTTTATTAATTATGTTAATTACTCCTATTTAAAGGTTAAGTTGAACTCCTATATTGAGAATATGACATATGTTTTACTCCTAGTTTGTTCCTTCTCCCTTCAAAAAGCATATTTTCTAAACAATAATTGATTAATATATGATAGGAAATTCAATTATTAACTACTAGCTTCATTTTCTTCAATAGCTTCATGTGGGGAGACAGTCTACTATCACTTCTGATAATCTACTATCTGAGGTTTAGAATGGGCTGATAATCGATTATCACACTTTGATAATCGATTATCAAACTTTAGAGACGGCTGACAGCCGATTGTCACATTCTGACAGTCGACTGTTGCTCAGCTATGTTCCAAAAATCTGCAGAATGAGCTATAATCGATTTTCAAGTTAATAATATATTATTCATCGTCTTCTACCTCGAGTCAACTTACAAAAAGGTCATTTTAAGTTCCCAAGCTTCAATTAAAGTATACAAAAGTGTTCTTCAAGGTTCATTGATCATTTTGACATCATTAATTCACAGTTTTAACATCAAAATCATGGTTTGTGATTCTTAGTTCTTCAAGCATGTCAAACACAAAACTCAACCAATTGACCATTTATGAATGTAGAAATGTCCTATATGAACATTCTAGTCATTAGATATATCTACGGGCTTAGCTCAAAGTTTATCGAAGGTTTTGAGAATTTTCCAGCGAAACTTCCAGCGATGATTACTCCTAACTCCGGCGACTTCGGCGGCAACCAACACCACCAGACAGCTCTCCTCACTCTTATGAACACAATGCTATAAATTTCCAGAAGATTGGTGCAGAATTGGTAAGGATTGAGTATCCTTATATAGGAGAAGAGAAGGGGGAAGAAGACATTGGTAGCTGACTCACTTCTACGTAGAATTTCCTTAGTGCGTAGGACGGCAATTCAAATTGATCTACACGTCGTTCCCTGATTGGGACCAATTTGGTTCTAGTTGAGGTACACTTTTTGGTCTAACTTCCTCTGAATTGAATTTCGTTTTCACCGTTATGATTAGCTAGTCGAATTCTATTCAACGATATAATTTTTATATTTATTTGTAATACTTTTTCTGACATCATATTTTTGGGTGTTTGACTTTGACATAATTAAAATTTGTTTAATTTACTTTTATCATAAAAAGATGCTCATATTTAATTTATTCTCATGGTTTATTTCAAGAATTTATTTCAAAGTTCATATCATAAACAAATTCTTCATTTATTCTTAATGTGGGTCTCCATACAATTTCCCAATCAAGATCACATACTAAATCAGCATGTTGTATTTGTCTCTATGAGACTTATTCAGAGTTTGATATTGGATTTCAAAATATATTTTACATCGACCAAAAGCCCAATAATAATTTATTTTAATCAAAACAAATTTTGTTTAATTAAATATTTAATTCAATAAATTTTATGGTATATTTTTGGGTGTTAGATTTCTCCCCCCTAAAGGAATTTTATCCTCGAAATTCTTCTAAGGTCCAACGTTCAACATTTTGTAGTGATCTCACTTAGTCATGACTGTGTCATGCTCAATGGGTTAAACCATAATTGCGCATAATTCATACGATACGTAATCTCAAACGGTTGATGTTATCAAAATCGTTCTTTCTTCAAGACATTAACATAGATTTAAGCAAGGTATCCAACAATTCTTTTGTGGGTTCCTATTCAAATGCAACTTCCATAACTTAGATTCCTTTGCAGGGTATAACATTGTTTTTTGGAGCATATTTGACATAGTTCGTGCATTCACAAGTCTCAATTGTTCATCATTAGTCAACAACATTCTTTCTTTGATTGAAGGTCCTTCAGTTTCAAGTTCACGATAGTTGTAATTGAGGATTTGGAGGTTGTTTAATTCATACGTCATAGCATAATCTTCTAAGTCATCCAAAATGTCTCACATCATTCACATAGTTCAGCATTGAATCGTAAATAACATCGAATTGCTTTTATTGGTTTATGACCTTTTTGGAATATAGGATTGTGTTGGAACACAATTTTTATGAAGTTAAACAATAATCATGTTCATTTTGACAGACGGATTTGATGATTGCCAAACCGTCGTGGATATGAAGAGTTTCGTTGAATAACTCAAGGCGTGAAGAGTGGCATGGAACAAGACCAAATGACTCAAGGACAACATCAAGAATTGAAGAATTATTAGTCGAGTCGGTCTTATTGTGATCAAAACCGACAATTAATTTAAGTCTCGGTTCTCAAAGAGTCAAAATAATTTTACAAAATCTTAAAGCGTTTTTGACGTTTTTAATAAATTTTTATTATAATCCCTGGTCCTTGCCCAGATAAAAAACCACCTCGGTTGGCGTTCGGCGTTCGGCATCGGCGTCTAGCATTCAGGGTTTCGGCGCTCGGTTTTTGGCGTCCGAACCAACTCGGTGGTTTTCAATTTTTTAAACCTCGTTTTTACCTCTGGGCATATTTAAAAGGTTCACAAATAATTATTTTGTAAAAACCATTTTGTATCTTTGTCAATCGGTCTAACACATGAAAAACGGTCAAAACCATACAATTGTGTTAAACGACCTTGAAGATTTGGTTTTTATCAAACACGTCTTGGTTTTCGGGTTACTCTTGGTTTTCAAACTTGGTTTTTACTTTTGGGAACACTTCGTTTTTGGACCTCGGCTTTTCGGGTTAAGTTTCTCGCAGGATGGTGTTGACCAGCTGATAATCGTCTGTCATATTGCAATAATCGATTGTTGGCTGCTGCAGTTTCTAAACATTAAGTTCAGAACCATCCGATAGTCGACTGACATGTTTTGTCAATTGATTATCTACGTTTGTACCATAAACCCATAAACTTCTAAGAGGGCTGATAATCGACTGACACTAGTTGACAATACATTATCTGGGTTACCTTTGTCCTCCAATGGATAGAATTTTAAATTTTTGGACAGGGAATCTTTTGATAATCGATTATCAACCTTTGACAATCGACTATTACCCTGTGTCTCTGAAAAATTTGTCTGTGAAAAATTTGTCTTCATCCTGTTGGAAATGTTAGCAATGGGTTTATCCCATTTTAGGCTATAAAATGGCACCCAAATCCTCTCATTTTACACACAATTCTTCAAAATTTCAATACTCTTTCATTGCATAAGCATTCCTAATTTTCTTAGCTATTTGAGAGCCAATTCTTGAAGAAATTGTCGTGTTCTTGAGCGTTTACTAGTTCACTCATATCTACTCTTTGTGAGAGTTTTATTCGTGAGTGTTTAAGTGTTACTATACACTTTAAGGGAGGTTGTTCCTCGTTGTAAACTCGAAGGAAGTTCTTTGTTACTTCGTGAGAAGTCTTGGAGTGTGGTATCTCTGAGCAAAAGCGTTGAGGCTCGTGTGACTCGGGTTCTCAAGTTGTATCGGTTTGTTGAGCACCCTTAAGCTTAACAGAGTTAGTGTAGCTCGAGAGAGTCTCTCGGGAGGCTGGATTAGCCACACGTTGTGGTGAACCAGGATAAAATTCGGTGTGCTCCTTCCTTACGCTCTTTACTTTATCGCTCTTGTTTTTAATTTCCTGCGATTCTGTTTTAAACGCTATACCCCCCCCTCTAGCGTTGGGCCTGTATTCTAACAATTGGTATCAGAGCCATACTCTCTGAAAGACTTAACCGTTTGAGAGAAACGATCAATGGCTTCTACTCAAAACTTATATGCAGGTTTAGGTGAAGGGCAATCCACCACGAGGCCTCCGTTGTTTGACGGAATGAACTACACTTATTGGAAGGAGTGGATGAGGATTTACATCCAATCTACCAACTTTCTTCTGTGGAGGATTATCAAAAACGGTGAAGATGTGCCCATGAAGAAGGGCAGGGAAACCAACGTCCCTAAGACTGAGTTTGAGTATGATGCGTAAGACATCAAGAAAGTGGAGAACAATGCAAAGGCCTTCAACATCATCTATTGTGCCGTAAACCCGGATGACTACCGGTAGATTTCTTGTTGTTCCACCGCCAAGGGAATGTGGGACAAACTAGAAATCACCTATGAAGGTACATATCAAGTCCGAGAAGCTAAAATAAATTTTCTAACCCATGAATATGAATTAATTCGTATGAAGGAGAATGAGAAAATCGATGAGATGTTTGAACGATTCTCCAAAATCGTCAATGATCTCCATGCGCTCAAAAAGACGTACATGAACAAGGAGCTTTTGAGAAAAATCCTGCGGAGTCTCACACTGGAATGGCGCTCCAAAGCCGATACCATCCAAGAGTCCATCGGCATCACCAACGTCACCATCGACGGGCTTAGAGGTAACCTCAAAACCTATGAGTCTACCATTCTTTTCCCCTCTTTAGGTGAACAAAAGAAGAAGGGGATTGAACTCAAGGCTTCCTCAAGCCAAGAACCCGCCATGGAGGAATCAAGCGATGAAGAAAACGAGTTCGGGCTTGTTATCAAGAAATTCCACAAGTTCATGCGAAAGGAGTATGAACGAAAGGGCAAGAAACATGGAGGACCACCCAAGTGTTATGGGTGTGGAGAAATCAGGCATATCAAGCCAAAATGCCCAAATGCCAAAAATGAGAAGGAGAAGAAACCGTTCAAGAAGCATCGAGCTTACATCTCGTGGGGAGGTGATTCTGGAGACGAGTCATCGGAAGGTGAAGAAAATGAAAGCGCCAACCTTTGCCTCATGGCACACGAGGACCACCGGAAGAGGTGTGTACCACTTCTAAAGATTCCTACACTTTTGATGATGTACAAGAAGCCTTTAATGAAATTTATGATGAATATGTCAACGCTTCTAAAATTAACAAGGATTTAAAGAAACAACTTACTTTCATGGAGAAGGAAGTTGATAAACTATCAACAGATAATGAAAAACTTAAAGAAGAAAATTAGTTTTTCGGAAAAAGAAGTGCCGATGGAAAGTTCAAAATGTAGTTCTTGTACATCACTTAAGCAACAAGTTGCAAAACTTGAAGGAACCTTGAAGAAGTTTGGTGTTTCTCTTAAAAACCTTAATGATGTTCTTGACAATTTGCAACTTACTAAACATGGCTTATGGTTTAAAAATGAAACTAATAATAATAAGGAAAAAGTTGAGAAACAACCTAAGGCTCAACCTAGGTAAACTAAAATGAACAACAATAGACAACCTAGAACAAGTAGGAACACTAGACCACCTATGAAAAATGGTCAAGTTAGAGAACCTAGAAACAATTTTACAAATATCCATAAACAAAACTTTTCTCAAACTAGGATCAATCAATATAGAAAACCTAGTAACTATTATCAAGGTAACATGTAAATTATTGTTACCCGTAATCAAATGGATACAAGAATGTCAAATGCTTAACCACAAGATGGTTACTTGCATTAGTGCATAAAAATACAACCTAAACACCTATACAAAACAGAAAATTACAATTCAAAATGCCCCTACACAAACAAAAGTAGTAGGCCAAACACATAGCAAATTGATCCACTAAGATCCAAAAAGATTACCCAAAACCAACACAACAACGAAAATTACAACCAGAACGAAACAATCTTCAAATCCATGTTGCAACGCGTTCCACATTCCAGTTGAGTCAAGCAGGGCAGTGGTTAGCTTCAGTAGCATCATGTATATCCAATCTCAGCAACTAGGTTCAGAAGATCAAGACCCCCTTTCCACAAACAAAAGGGACAGGTCTGAACCCAAGTAGTAGAAAGTCTACACAAGAACGGCTACCTGCCACCCAAGAGTCAAGTTGACAGCTAGCAGTAAAACATCCATTGCAACTAGGTGTGTCCATCTCCCTTTGAGGAGTGCATCCTCTCTTCTACAACACAGGGAGGTGAGGTAGTCAAAAATCAGGTGTGTCCATCTCCCTTCGAAGAGTGTGTCACCTCTCCTACAACACAGGGAGCTGAGGTAATCAAAAAGCAAGACCAATCATCACAACTAAGTCAAAAATCCAAGCTCAGCATAGCCAGTTTGAACCCAACAGGACCCAGACATAAGTCTATGTAGATGTCAGCCACCCACAAGGGGTTAACCCACCCAAAAAACCCAGGCCAAACACAACCATCTACATAGTCCCACTCAAAGGAAGTAGCAGGCTTATGTAATGGATTGTGTTCAGCAGAAAAGAAGCAGGGAAGGGAAAGAGAAGAGAGAGGAAAAAGAGGGGAAGAAGAGAGGGGAGGGGGAGGGGATGAAAGAAAGAAGGTGGGTGAAAACACCCCAACCGGGACCCAATGGTACCTCTTTATATCCAGAAGGGGTATTAAGAGGTAAGATTGTTTCCACCACCCCAATACCATAGTCCAGAGACTAAGCCATTGAGGCTGGCCCAAACCCAAGGAACAGCTAACTCAGAAGAGAAGTTGTTCCAACACCCCAAGGACCAAATCTGGACCCAGCTCAAACTTTAGTTATCCAGAAACTGGGTCCAACACCCCAAGGACCAAACCTAGTAACTATTATCAACCTAGGAGAATGCATAATCCAAATGTTATTTGTCATTATTGCAATAGGGTAGGATATATAGCCCCGGTTTTTTTCACTAGGCATAGGCATTGCACTCAAAACCAATCACACTACCAACGTGCACCTAATGCCCAAGGACCCAAAAGGAATTGGGTATCTAAATCTTTTTAAATTGATTTGTAGATGTGCTAGAATGCATCAAGTGTACTTTGGTACCTTGATAGTGGATGCTCCAAGCACATGAGCGGAGATGCATCCAAGTTCTTGCAAATCAAACCAACTAAAGGAGGAAATGTTGTCTTTGGGGATAATAGCAAAGGCAAAATAATCGGCATTAGTTCGGTTGGTAAAAACAAAACCTCCTCTATTGATAATGTGTTATTAGTTAATTAGGGTCTTAAACACAATCTCTTGAGCATAAGTCAATTGTGTGACAAGGGAAATCGTGTCGAACTAGGCATCGAGCATAACTTCTCCGCTCCACGTACAACACAACAAAATGGCGTGGTGGAACGTAAACATCGTTGTCTCAAGGAGATGGCTAGAACTATGCTTGATGAGGCAAAAATTCCTAAGTACTTTTGGGCGGATGCTGTGAGTACCGCAAGGTACGTGTTAAACCGAGCTGTCATTAGATCGATACTCATGAAAACCCTATACGAATTATACAAAGTAAGAAAGCCAAACCTCTCCCATTTTTGAGTCTTTGGTTGCAAATGTTTTTTTCACAATAACGGAAAAGATAACTTGGGCAAATTCGATGCGAAGTCGGATGAAGGAATTTTTTTGGTTATTCATTGCATAGTAAGGCTTATAGAGTCTTCAACAAACGCACCTTAACCGTTGAGGAATCTCCTTGTAATACCCTGTATTAAGATGGGAATGGGAAGAACTCGAAATGATTGATAGTACTACTCATACCAACAAGGTGCATCTTCTTTTCGAGAGCTCATCACCTAGAAACTCCAAAGTTAAGCGTGCTTGACCTGGAGAAATTCTAGGATGGGTGACCCCCTGGGAACTTTCTTTGGGCGCTCACGAGTGAGGACAAAGTGCGCGGGAAAGACTTGTGTTGGTTTGTGAGGCCAGTCTACAATCCTATGAGCAGACACTTACGGTTAGGGTGGGGGCCGGGGTGTTACAAATGGTATCGGAGCAACCCTACGACCGTGACGGGCCAAGAGAGCTTAGTTCACCTAGCGGGGAAGATCTATGGGTTCAAAAAAAAAGGATGCAACGAGGACGTTGCATTCCTAAGTGGGGGTGAATGTAATAACCCGTATTAAGATGGGAATGGGAATAGCTCAAAAGGATTGATAGTACTACTCATACCAACAAGGTGCATCTTCTTTTCGAGAGCTCATCACCTAGAAACTCCAAAGTTAAGCGTGCTTGACCTGGAGAAATTCTAGGATGGGTGACCCCCTGAGAACTTTCCTTGGGTGCTCACGAGTGAGGACAAAGTGCGCGGGAAAGACTTGTGTTGGTTTGTGGGGCCAGTCTACAATCCTATGAGCAGACACTTACAACTAGGGTGGGTGCCGGGGTGTTACACTCCTCATGTTGTCTTTGCCGAAAACGATACTCGCTTGGCGAGAAAGGATTCTTGTGATGATCTTGTAGATTCGTTGGAGAACATCTATCTCAATGACAATGATGAAAGAAAACAACTCAAAGGAAGGCCAAGACGAAGAAGTAGAGCCACCAATGAACGAGGAACAACCACAAGAGGAAGAAACGCCAATGCCAAGGGCTTGTAGGACTTCAAAGGACCATCCTCTTGACAAGGTAATCGGTGACATCAACCGAAAGGAAAGTACTCGTAGCTCTCTTAGGGACACCGTAGGTCACTTAGCTTTTGTTTCTCAAATTGAACCTACAACCATTTACGAAGCAATTGATGATGAACATTGGACCTTGGCAATGCAAGAGGAGCTTAACCAATTCAACAAATTCTCACATTTGGTTATCCAAAATGTCTTCACATTGTTCACATAGTTCAACATTGAATCGTAAATAACATCAAATGGCTTTTATTGGTTTATGACCTTTTTGGAATATAGGATTGGTCTCCATTTATGAGGAAGTAGTATCGATTGATAAGGTAGAAGCTTGTCATCATCGATCTTACGTTGAAACATTTCTTCGTTCACTTCATGGTAGCTCTCATCATCATCAATGAGGCTTTGTATTAATTCACATTCAAAGGTGTTGATGTTTGAGTGGCATGTCATATACGTCTTGTTGTATTCAACCTTCTTTCATCGATTATTGGAAGTATATCAAGATACGTTTATGATAGTGATAGGTTTGATCACAACACTATGGTTGATCTCATTTCGAGGAAGGAAGAGATTATCTTCAGTATATGATTCAATTTGATGAATTCATAGAGTAAGGAATCTTAATAGTTCTAACACCAACATCGCATATAGGTTCGAGATTTTCGTTTGAATGATTCAATTCGCTTCTCTCGACTTCATTGTTCTTCTGGTTGATGCACATACCTTTTCTCTCTAAGGTCCGAACAGAGTTTGTTTGGTCAATAAGATCATCAATAATAATCTCCAGAGATAATGTAATTACATCAGTAGTTTTGTGGTTCACAAATAGAGGTTCAACATAATATTCTAGTCAAAGTGCTTTCACCATTGTGATTGAGTCACGTAGTTCACACAGTATAGTTTTCAAAGATCGGTATCACGGTATCACAGAGTGTTGTTTTGGTTTTAATGAAGAATCATGGTTTTAGTATTTTGATACAAAAGATGGATTTCAATTATTTTAAGATTGATCAAGCGAGATATTTCAAGGGTGTAGTTAACACATCAAGTGTTACTATCTCAAGGATATGAATCACAAGATACAAAGATGGTATTTATGAATTATCCTCATCAATCGTAGGTCTTCAAACTTCGATGCTTCACTCTTTGGCAGTTACTCAAGGGGTCATTTTGACTTTTCGTCTCCAAATTTGAACGTTTTTCAGGATAGCGAATCTAACTGTTCATGAGTCTCAATTTGTCATATCGTCAGCAGACCATAGTATTAGCGAGTACGTTTTTTTCTATAGTTATATTGAATACATTTTACTGTACGTATTTTGGCTCGTGACAATTACCTTTCTATAAATGGTCAGGTTTTTAAAGCTATATATATCACGATTATAGAAAGAGTACCTCACATTCTCACATTATGAAATTGAAGGAAGTTCTCGAACACTTCCTTACACCATAAAGTCAATTTGGTCTTCTTGGCAGTCATGCTCTTCGTCGGAATCCAAAATTCATGGATTTGGTAGTAGATCAAGGAAGTAAATTGGTAAGGCGAAGAATAAGACTTGCTTATGGAGGAGGAAACGTTGGCCAACAATGAGCTGTTGCTTCAACCGTCTTTACCAATGGCGGTCTCGTTAGAGGTGTCATTCCTAGTTACATAGCAACACAACGGGTCTATGGACCCACATACGGTTTAGAGCACACAGTTTCAAGTAATTACTACAAATATTTTGAGGTGGATCCTGTCGTGGAAGCTTTCATTGTTCTTCGCGGAGGAGTTGACACTATGGAAGGTTTGTTCACCTTGATCTCTT